GGTTCGGCGGTGAACGAGGCCTTCTCAGAAGGCCCTACGCCTTCTGGGAAGGCCTCGCTCGCCGCCGGGGAAATGAGAAGGAGAAGGCCTTCGCGCAAAGGCGGCGGGACTTCTCAGAAGCCCTTGCGCCGTCTCAGAAATTGTCCGTGTCTTCGGGGAAAGCTTAGAAAACTTCCGAGAAGGACGGAGGACATCGGAGCCTTCTGAGAAGACCCGCCGTTCTCACTTCACCGCGGGCTCACCGCCGAGAGGTGGCGTTCTGTGGTCGTTTGGAGGGGGGGGGGGGGCCAGACACCCCCCCCCCCTTCCCTGCTTCTCCTCTCTCCCTCTCCTCGGGCTGGCGCCGGCGGCTGGCGGCGGCTGGCGGCGGCGGCGGAGGTGCTGTTAGTGGTGGTAGTGGCGGTGGTGGTGGTGTGTGGTGGTGGTGGAGGTGGTTTGTGGTGGTCGTGGTGGTGGTAGTGGGTTGTGCTGCTGGTAGTAGTGGTGGTGGTTGTGGCGGTGGTGGTGGTGGTGGTGTGGTAGATTGTGGCGATGGTGGTGGTAGTTGTGGTGGGTTGTTGTATTGGTGGTGGTGGTGGCGAGCTGTTGTGGTGGTGGTGGCTGTGGTGGTGGTGGTGGTGGTGGTGGGTGGTTTTGTTGGTGGTGGTGGTGGGGTGGTGGTGGTGGTGGTGGTGGTGGTGGTGGGTTGGAGTGGTGATGGTTCTGGTTGCGGTGGTGGCGGTGGTGCTGGTGGCGTGGTGGTTTGTGGTGGTGGTGGTGGTGGGCTGTGGTGTTGGTGGTGGTAGTGGTGCTGCTGGTAGTGATGCTGGTGGTGGTGGTGGTGGGTGGTGGTGGTGGTTGTGGTGGTGGTATGGTGGCTTGTGGTGGTGGTGTTGGTGGTGGGTTGTGGTGATGGTGGTGGTTGTGGCGGGTGTGGTGATGGTGGTGGTAATGGTGTGGTTTGTGGTGGTGGTGGTGGGTTGTGGTGGGTTGTGGTGAAGCTGGTGGTGGCGTTTTGGGTGGTGGTGGTGAGGTGGTTTGTGGTGGTGGTGGTTGCGGTGATGATGGGTTGTGGTGGTTGTGGTGGTGGTTGTGGTGGTGGCGGTGGTGGTGGTAGTATGGTGGTCTGTGGTGCTGGTGGTGGTGGTGCTGTGGCCTTCGGCTCTTCCCGCCATTGTGTTTTGGCAAAGGGTCAGAGTTCCAATGGATGCCTCTTGAGGTCTCGTCAGAAGCGTCTCGGGGGCGGGGGGGGGTTCGGGAGGGGGGGGGGTTAGGGGGGAGGGGAGTCCCCCTGGCTCTGATCGACGGCGCTGGGCTCAAAACGCGCCGCCGAATATTCCCAAGGCAAGCGCCCGTGAAACGCGCTCTCTCCGACACGCGAGCCCTACCCGAAAAAAGACACCGGCTCTCCTGGATCGATCGGAGGCGGGGGTCAGGGCTCGGACTCCGCCGCGTGCTCGACTGGTTCCGGGCCCTGCCCCCGCCGCCCATCGAGCTGCCTGAATCATTGACCGGCGAGGGTACGGTAGGGTGGACAATGGCACACCCGCCGAAAGTCCATCCCAGGACCCCTCCCGGGGTCCATCTGGGAAGAGGAGGAGGAGGACGAGGAGGACGAGGAGGAGGAGGAGGAGAAGGAGGAGGAGGGGGAGGAGGAGGAGGAGGAGGGGGAGGAGGAGGAGGAGGAGGAGGAGGAGGAGGAGGAGGAGGAGGAGCAGTGGCTCACCCGGGCACCACTTTTTCTCCAGCCCCGTGGCCCGGAAGCGGCCCGCGGAGGCCGAGAGTGGCCAACGACATGCTCGTCGAGCACACCTGTGGATTGCCCAACCTTCCCCCCCACTTCCCCCCCACGTCCCATACTTTCCCATCTCTTCTGGGGGCTCGACGATCCATGGTGTCTGCGTGTTTTCTTTTCCCTCCTGGGTCCGGGCTTTCCTCCTCTGCGTGTAAAACAAGGCTAAGATCGGGATAAATCGCTCCAGGGCGTTCCGGAGCGCTCTCAGGGCGTTCCGGAACGCTCTGGAGCGGCCGCGGTGCCAAATACATCCTCCAAACCCGCCGACTCTCAGAGATTTCGAGTCATCCCGATCCGATTTTGTCCCGACCTTCGCGTCGTTTGACAACCCCCTCCGCCCATCGAGCTGCCTGACAGACGCCGACAGACGCCACGCCGCGCCGCCATCTTCCTGCCTCCGCGCCCGCCGCCCCGCAGTGGGTCGGGTCGGGCGAGAGTGAAGGGGCCCTGGGACACACAAATAAATACACACGAATAAAAATATCCCCCATATTTTCCTATATTTTTCTGGGTTTCTGTCTTCCCCCCCACTTCTCATATTTTCCCATATTTTCCTGGGAGTCGACGATTGATTGTGTCTGTGTTTTTTTCCCTCCTGAGGGATAGCAAAGGGGGGGGGGAGAATATCAGCTCACACTACCCCGGCGCCTCCCGGCGCCGGAGGCGGCTATGTATCAAGGAAGGGGCCCCTCGGTGCGGCCGAAACGCGCTGCATGCAGCAAATGTCTTCCCAATCCTTACCAGCCCGGAACAGATCCCTATCCCTCTGCTGGGCATCTCCTCGTCACGATGCCAATCTTAGGCATTCCCTTGTCTTTTGAGGGCGCATCCCTGAGACTGTCATCGCCCCTTGGCGTGTCAATCTTAGGGATATAGGGATCTGAGCATTTTCTTAGGGTGGAGGGCTCAGGGTGAAATCCACATGGGCTTCTGCGCCTCGAAAATCCGTCCGTCTCGCGGTGCACCTTTTGCAGATTCAAGCCTCGAGAATCAATCGAAACGGCATTTCAGATTTCACCCTCTGCCCTCAACCCGAAGAGAATGCTCGGGGGATACCTAGGGCTCCCAACTTCGCGCTTCGCGCTGCGCGAAGCGCGAAGCGCGAATAACTTCGCGCTCTCGCGCCGCCCCCCCAAAGGGAGAAAAGGAGGACGAGGAGGAAGGGGAGAAGGAACGAGGACCGCGAAGCGCGAAGCGCGAATAACTTCGCGCCCTCGGGGGAGCCCTTGCTTTTGCGCGCCGCCAATCCGAGCAGCAGGTAAGGTCGGCGGATCGCGCCCTCCCCCCCATATGGGAGAAGCTTTCGGCTCCAGAGCGTCAGCGTCGCCGTCGTCACGGAGGGGGCCCTGGGGCACACAAAGAGAAATACACACACCAACAAAAGGGTTCCCCAGATTTTCCCACAGTTTCTGGGTTTCTGTCTTCCCCCCCACTGCCCATATTTTCACGTATTTTCTGGGGAATCGACGATTAATTGTGTCTGTGTGTTTTTTCTCCTCCTGAGTCATCGCCGTCGTCGTCATCCTCCCCCATGCAGGGTCGGCGGCACCGGCTGCCAAGGCCTTCACAGCAGAGGCCTCCCGAAGGGGGGCCCGAGCAGATGGAGCCGGAGGACCGCGCCGACGCCACCGCTGCATTGCTGGCGATGCATCGGAGACGTCGGCGATGCATCGGCGCCGTCGGCAGTGGAGAAAATCGGGGCCCCACGGCAGGCCGCATCGCCGATGCATCCACGGTGCGGCGGTGCGGCGCAATCCACCGACCCCAGCGGCGGCGTGCCTCTGATACTCTTTCTCTCTCCCGAGCAGGGCTGGACCTACCTACACGGTGCTTTTCGTTCCGTTGTCCGATGTGTTGTTCGATTTGAGCTGCCTGTTCCCCTGGGCCTCTGCCAGAACGAACAGCAAAACGAGGCCCGAAAGCCAGCAAAACAACGTGGGGCCCCGCTTCCCATCGCTCGGACGTCCATTATTTTTATTGTTCAGTTTCGTGCGCTCATGTTTCGCAGGACGACCCAGAATGCTCCTCGATGGTTTTCGCCGAGACAGCATGCACACGTCCGAGCGACGCCAGGAGCTCGCCCGCCTCCGCGGATCGGCCCCGGCCAGGGTCGGTGCGGCGGCCGACGTCCCCCAACGCCGCCTGCACCCCGCGACCGCGGGGCAGCGGCCGCGAGCGAGGGCGCCCAGGCTGCCAGGGGCGCCTGGCCTGGAGCGCCCAGCGCACACGGCGACCCAAGCGCGACCCAGACCGCCTGGGGCGTTTTGGGGAACGTTGGGGCCCTGCGCGGATCTCTTGGATCTTCGCTGGGGCCCCCTGGCGGCGCCTCCGGCGCCGCCCCTTGCGCGCGCGCGCGCCAGGGATGGGGGTCCAGCGCAGCTCCTAGAACGCCGCGCGGAGCCTCGAGCTTTGGCCGCGCCCGAGGGGCCGAGCTGCACCCAACGGACGCGCACGCACCCCAAGGCAGGCACCGAAGTCTCTACCCGGACGTGCGCGCTCGCCGATGCAGCTTCCACGACGTACACCCGACGGGCTCCCTCACACAGCAGTCCTCGCCAGCGGCCGGTGCACTATGGGCCCCGTCGGGCACAAATCTTGGCAAGCGGCTGGCGGCGTCGAGAGCGGGGGGAAGAGGCGGGAGGAGGAGGAGGCGAGTAAAGGGGCCCAGGGACACACAAATAAATACACACAAATGACAGGATCCCCCATATTTCCCCATATGTTCTGGGTTCTCGTCTTCCCCCCCACTTCCCATATTTTTCCATCTTCTCCTGGGAGTCGACGATTCATTGTGTCTGTGTGTTTTTCCCCTCCTGATCGAGGAGAGGAGGGGGGGGGGGGGCGCCGCCGGGAGCTCCGGGCTCTGGAGAGCCCGCTGGTGCCCCCCCGGGAGCCCACTGGGCTCGACGCAGGCACAACTTCGGGGCGAATCTGCCCTCATGGCTTCTGCTCGAGCGTCACCTACACGTCGTTCATTTCTGATCGTGCTCACTTTTAATTGCGCTCGTTTCTAATCGTTCCTGGCCCCCTGAGTGGCCAGGAAGAGGCTCAGGATATAGAAATGAAAGCACATTGGCCCCCAGCAAAAATCAAAGAACTTTCGAAAAACAAAAAGTAAACAACGTGTACGCACCGCCTGCTCTGAGCGAATGTGTCGGCTCCGTGTGGCTGTGAGCCCTTCCGGCTGCCCCCACCCCACGCACAGGAGGGTCGGTCGTGGCCCCGCCTTGCTCCGAAGGTCGTTGCCAGCGGCGCGGAGCTCCTTCTCCGCGGCCTCGGGGCAGCAAGACATGGACGACAGAGGACGGTGGGGGGACAAAGTGAATCACGAAGCACTGCCGACAGGGGACGGTCGGAAGACAAGGCCACTTTTTTGAGGGACGAGGTCCGCCAGTCAAGGGATGATGTCGGGACAGGACGGGCAGGTGCCGAGAAGGCCTCACACTGAAGAAAAGTCTCCATGCCCAAACTTCCACACTTCCCTGCGGAAATCCCCGCCTCGATGTGCTGCAAGGTTTTAGTGAATGTTTCCCGTGCCGAATGGAGCTTTCCCCGCTCACCCTATCGCGGTTGATGATGTTTGTCACTGGGCCAATCAATGTAGCCGGGCTGGACAGTATACTGCAGCCAGCGCACCGAAATCGCTGCAAGACGACTCATCCTGTCCAAACTGAGCGGCCATTGTACCCAGATCCGTTTTCCCTCTCCCAAGTTTGGGGAACAAGTTTCGGTGTGGCTGGAAGCGGATGGCAGCTGCATCGAGATGCCCGCTTGCACAGCACTGAAAGCCAGAAGCGAGACACCACAGAGCGTATCTGGGGCCCTGAAGGAGGGGAACTTGGACAGCGAATCCGTCCGCAACAGTAGAAGAACAAACAATTACATAAACACACAGGAGGAGGGGGAGGAGGAGGAGGAGGAGGAGGAGGAGGAGGGGGAGGAGGAGGAGGAGGCGGAGGAGGCGGAGGAGGCGGAGGAGGAGGAGGAGGAGGAGTTCTGCGCGGATTTCACGGATCGGCGCTGGACCCCGCTTCGCCGCGGGCCAGGTGCGGCGCCGGAGAGGCAGCCAGAGGGGCCCAGCTCAGATCCAAGAGCTCTGCGCGGATCTCCGAAAGTTGTGTGTGTTTGTCGTGTCTGCTTCTTCGGACCGGTGCTGTATGTCAACGAACGCACGCATCCGAGCCAAGGATCTCATGTCCACGAGCCCAAGGCCACCGGGAGAGACCTGTCGCCGCGGCGTGCGTCGCAGCTCTGCTGGAGGGCACCCGACAACTGCAAGAACAGCGCAACAACTAATCAGAAGAAGAAGAAGAAAAAGAAGAAGAGACAAGTGGGGATGACACGCCAGAGGAGACAAGACCCCCGGCGTCACACATCGCCTGCGTATCAGCCATCGTGGCGTCGGCACGCTTGGGGCGTGTTAGAATGCCCGCTGACATGTGTGGTGCACCTTCTTGCGATTTCTGGGGGCGACCCCCCGCACTTGAGGGTGAGAGCCGGAAAATCACCCTCCCTCGCTTTGTTCCGCGGGCACCACGCGTGAAGTCCTGCACGCTCTGAGCGCGGCTCCTTCATTTGCCCTTCTGCGGCAACGAATGGGAGCCTCCCATACCATCTTGCTGGCTCTTGCGAATCGACGCTAATCGGCGCTAGATCGACGCTGATCGACGCTAAATCGGTGCCATCCAGACGCCAATCGACGCTAGAAGGCACGCAATGCTCCCATGACTTGCTACCGACCTGCCCTCCTCCGCGTCCGCTCTCCTCCTTTTCCGTCCGCATCGGTGCGCGATCAGCTCTGCCGCGTCCCGGCTGCCGCTGCTCGCCACCTCGTGCGTGCGGCGTCGCCGCTGCCCTACAGAGTCGTGTGTTGTTCGGCGCTCTCGTCGCCGTCTGGGCGGCTCCAAGACGGCTCCAAGACGACACGCCTCCAAAACAGCAAGACGCCCCGACGACACCCCAATAGCTCCAGGATGTCTCCAGGAAGCCCCAAGTGCCATGATGGGCACGTCCCCCCTGGCAGAGCCCGCAGACACCAAAACACTGAACTGCAATTGGAACATTTGATTCGTTGTTTACTTCCGACCCGATGCTTTTGGCATGGGATCGCCCTGGGTAAGGCTTCAGAGAGCCCCACGAAAGACGGCCCAAGACGACCCCAAAAGGGCACCGACACGGCCCGCAAAACCCCCAAGACGGCTCAAGACCTCTCCCAAAGAGAGCCAACTTCGTTCAACCAATGCTCTTCTGACCGGGTACACTGTAGCATGCAAACGACGGCCCCGACACCTCCTGACAGGCCCTTATTCGGTCCCTAAGAGGGCCCAGGAGACCCCAAAGCACCTCCCCCAGAAGCCTCCAAGAGATCCATGGAATGCAAAGCAACAGCTTTGCCCCAATTGAACCAATCTACATGAGATTCAGAGCTAAGCTGGCACAGTTGCAGGGGTTGTCGCAGACAGCACGGAATCAGCACGCTTGAAGCCGACTGCACGCTGTATGTGCACCGAGCCCGAGGGGGTAAGACGAATGAGAGGCGCGCCCTTTTGGCTTCACGGACAGTGCACGGGCACGCCTAGTGGGACTCGAGCAGGGCCCCCAGCTGCTGGAGTGGCGACTGGCGACGTGAATTGAGTGCGCGCCAAGCCTGGATCCGCCATCAATTCGGGCGCACCCTGACATGGATTCCTGATCCGTGCATCTGGCGCGCGGGCGCCAGGTCCATGGATGATGATGCTGCTGATGATGATGATGATGATCATCATGTTCCTGATGATGGTGATGATGCTGATGCTGATGCTGATGCTGATGCTGATGATGATTAGGAGCATTGTGGGGGCAATGGTGATGATGATAATGGTGTTGATGGTGATGATGGCACTGATGACGATGGTGGCGCTGGTGATGATGGTGATGCTGTTGAAGGTGACGGTGGTAGTGATGATACATCTGTCTGATGGCGATGGTGATGGTGTCGATGCCGATCTCGATGTTGGTGTCGATGTCGATGATGATGATGATTGTGATGATGTTGATGACGATGATGCTGAGTAGTATGGTGATGATGGTGATGATGTTGATGGTCATGATGCCGATGATGATGATGATGATGATGATGATGATGCTGATGATGATGATGATGATGATGATGATGATGGTGTTGATGATGATGGTACTGCTGATGATGATGGTGATAATGGTGATGCTGGTGATGGTGATGGTGCTCCTGATGATGGTGATGGTGATGATGCTAGTGGTGCTGGTGATGCTGTTGTTGGTGATGGTGATACTAATGACGATGATAACGATGGCAGTGGTGGTGATGGTGGTGGTCGTGGTGATGACGATGGTAATGCTTATGAGGAGGATGAAGAAGAAGATGATGATGATGATGGTGGTGGTGATGACGATGATGCTGATAGTCCTGATGATGATGCGGATGATGATGATGATGGTGCGGTTGATGATGATGATGATGATGATGGTGGTGGTGATGATGATGATGATGATATGGAGGATGCGTGTGATGCTGATGATGATGTTGATGATGTTGATGATGATGTTGATGGAGATGTTGATGGAGATGGTGATGGTGATGATGACGCTGACGATGACGATGACGATGACGATGACGATGACGATGGTGATGGTGATGGTGATGGTGGTGGTGATGGTGATGATGATGATGATGATGGTGGTGATGATGATGATGATGATGATGATGATGATGATGATGATGATGATGATGGCGACGTAGGCAACGACGACGACGAGGATAAGTTCCTTCTGGCGCTGAAGCGCCAGACCACTTCGCGACCAAAGTGGCTGGCTCGCACGGGGCCCAGCTTTACCTCGAACAGCTCCTGGACCCTCCGATCAGGGCTTGCTTTGTGGTGGTCCCATCCTACTTAAGGACCGCATCCCAGAAATAATGTCGAGCACCCGGGAAAGTGTCAAAAGAGTGTCGAAACAGTGTCGGGCGAGTGTCTCCCAGGGCCCGACACGTGAAAATCCTTGAGTTTCGGTACTTGTTTGGGCACTCGAAATTCTGTCTGCTGATCAAGACTATCGTTTCTGGACTCTTCTTTTCTTCGACTTCTTCTTTGCCAGCGGCAGACACACGCACAGTAAAGCCAGTCTTCTTCTCCTCGGTCATTTCCGAGCCAATGATGAAGCTAATTGCAGAGAGCGACGCGTTAGCCAACGAGCGCTGCTTAGCCAACGAGTCTCCCAGGGCCCGACACGTGAAAACCGTTGAGTTTCGGTACTTGTTCTGGCGCTCGAAATTCTTTCTGCTGATCAAGGCTATCGTTTCTGGACTCTTCTGTTCTTCGACTTCTTCTTTGCCAGCGGCAGACACACGCACAGTAAAGCCAGTCTTCTTCTCCTCGGTCATTCCCGAGCCAATGATGAAGCCAATTGCAGAGAGCGGCGCGTTAGCCAACGAGCGAGCGCTGCGTTGCCTCGGGACCCCCTTGAGTTTCGGTGCTTTTTCTGGCGCTCGAAACTCTTGAGTTTCGGTACTTTTCCTGGCGCTCGAAATCCTTTCTGATGATCAAGGCTGAAGTAGGCTGGAGCATCATAAGATCAGGGCTTGCTTTGCCCCGGGACCCCCTGGAGGAGGCGCGAAGTGCGCGGCGCGGGCAGTCCTGCGTGCGCCCACGGACCGCGCGCGGAGCCCCCCCCGGGGGCCCTCCCGCTGAGAGCCCCCTGTGCGCGGGCGGTGTGCGAGGCTGCCTGTGCGCAGGCTGGGGCGTCGCGGATCGATCGATCTCCTCCTCCTCCTCCTCGCCCTCCTCCTCCTCCTCCTCCTCCTCCTCCTCCTCCTCCTCCTCCTCCTCCTGCTCCTCCTCCCCTCTCCCTCCTCCTCCTCCTCTCCCTCTCCCTCCTCCGCCTCCTCCTCCTCGTCTCCCACCTCCTTCTCCTCTCCCTCTCCCTCCTCCGCCTCCTCCTCCTCGTCTCCCACCTCCTCCTCCTCCTCCTCCTCCTCCTCCTCCTCCGATCGATACGGTGAGAGCAGTGGATGCGGAACCCGTAGATCTTAGACTGGGAAGAGGTCACAACTACCCCGAGTGAGGTGCCGCAGCGGCCACGAGTCTGACCACGTCGGGCGCCAAGCCGCAACCGACGGGCGCCCCGAGGTGGGCCCTGAGGCCCCCTCTCCAGGGCACGCCTGTTCTGGGGTACGTTTGGCCACCCCGAGTTTGATCAGGAATCCAGCACCTGGAAGTCACCAAAAATCCAACTGCGGCCTGTCCATCGATATCACCGCCGCCCGCATCAGAGAAGGAATCTTCCAGGGTCTGAACCCGCCTAGGGCACAGTCCTGAACGAGCGCCCCCGCCGTAGGACCATTTCAGGCAGCGCCGCAAGGCTGGCAACGCATGCAGGCCTTATGCCCGTTGCGGGAGCGGCGTGGCAGCGTGCAGACCGTTTGCCACTGGGTACAAGGCGGCAACGTTTCCTGGCGAGGCGGGTGCGGGGTGCTGCACTGTCGCAGGCTGCGCTGGCCACTATCCCCAAGCCTTGTCCGCGCGGGTGATCCGCCAGTGGTGATGCGCACTGCTTGGCAACGCTTGGGATCGGGATTGGTTTGCTTGACATATCAAGGACAGGCATGTGCTACAGTGCGAGCGCGATCGCAAGAAACCCCCGCAACAAACCCAACCCTGTAAACCCGCGTGCGAGGTGCACCGGAGGGGAAGCCCAAAGCACCCTGAACGCAGGAGCTCTTTCCATGGCCGCGGGAAGTCGCCGCGCAGCGCGCGGAGCGAAGAAACCTAGGATACCCTGACGAAAAGCAGATGGTTTCTTGATGCGCGCCCCCACTGTAGCCCACACAAGTCTCGTCCATGCGGGACCGCTGGCAGTACACATCTGCACCTTGCACCAAAGGTTCGCAAGTTAGCATGTCAAACAGAACGTCAAGCAGCCCTGTGGCCCGCCAACTTGGTGTGCGTAGCCATCCGTAGTGAGTGGACGTTCCACCCTGCTTGCTCTCGCGCGTCACAGTGACAGCGGGCCCCTCACACCATCCGTTCATTGACCTGGGGTCGAGGAGCGAGCCGCAGCTGCCGCGTGGCGCTGAACGCCAGGCTGATATCGGACCTCGCCTAAAATCGCGCGTCACAGTGACAGCGGGCCCCTCACACCATCCGTTCATTGACCTGGGGTCGAGGAGCGAGCCGCAGCTGCCGCGTGGCGCTGAACGCCAGGCTGATATCGGACCTCGCCTAAAATCGCGCGTCACAGTGACAGCGGGCCCCTCACACCATCCGTTCATTGACCTGGGGTCGAGGAGCGAGCCGCAGCTGCCGCGTGGCGCTGAACGCCAGGCTGATATCGGACCTCGCCTAAGAGTGCGAGAGGAATGCACACGAGCATGTGCGCAGCCCGCCCCGTCGTGCTGTGCAGGGGCAAAAGTTTATGCGCCCACTCCGCACCCTCTCCAGCCGCGTGCAGCATCAGCACATCACAGGCTGGCGCACACCACGATGGTCTACATGTTTTCTCTCTATCTCTCTCTTTCTCCTTCCCTCTCTCTCTCTCTCTCTCGCTCTCCCTCCCTCTCTCTCTCTCTCTCTCTCTCTCTCCCTCCCTCTCTCACTCTCTCTCTCTCTCTCTCTCTCTCTCTCTTTCTCAAGCCAACGCACACTACAGACACACGCCTGTAGTCTTCGTACATGGCACGAGCAGGCAAAGCTGTGTTCGGCGCGAGGCTTTCACACTACAGGCCTCTGCCCAAGGGCTTGTGCACGACGCCGAAAGCAGGCGTTCACCACCCCAGGCCTCTCTGCACCACCTGCCTGCGCATGCACATGCATACACTTGTGGGCGTCGCGGCCACGCGCGCGGCGGCGCGGCGTAGGTCAAGCCAGTTGAAAGATGGACGCGCGCACACTAGAGGTCTCCTAGATGGGGTCCGAGTAGATGGGGTCGAAGGGTCGCGCCGCATCGCCGATGCATCGCCGATGCATCCGCGATGCATCGGTGATGCATCGGCGACGTCGGCGATGCATCGGCGACGTCGGCGTGGGGAAACACGGGCTCCACATCGAGCCGCATAGTCGATGCATCGGCGATGCGGCGCGATCCTTCGACCCCATCTAGGAGGCCTGGACACACGTAGACAGACACACAGGCCTGTGTGCACAGGCCTGCTTGCACAGCAGGCCTGTGGGCACAACCGGCGCACGCGACCCCGGGCACGCGACGGGGAGGCGCTCCCTGTGCCCGCCGCGGGCCGGTGGTGCGCACGCGAGATTGAAACAGCCTGCGCATACACACACGAGTCACGACGGCCTGCGTACACCTTGCGAAATACTTAAGAAATCATGGGTTAAGAAATTCATAGTCTCAGAACTTGAATAAAAACCCAACATTTCCACTAAACTCTTAGGATTTTCATTGAAAAATTAAGAATAATCGAGACTCTGGCCGAAAACTTAAGTTTTCTTAAGCATCGCCTAAGGTGTACACGCACGGGCGCACGCACACTAACAGTCGGCAGTGGACAAACCTCCCCTTGGCAAACCTCCCCTTCGGCAAAAGCGGCCTGGGACCGGGGCCGACGGACCCGGACCCGCAGAGATGACGGCCGCGGCGCCCTCTCGCGAACCGAAAACGGCCGATTCGCCAATCGACGTGTCAGGGTAGGAGGTCTGCCCAACCCCCGAAACGGGCCAGATACCCCCACAGGGCACTAGCACGCCACACCCAGTCCTCCCCCGGCGGGCGCTCTCCGTCCCATCGCTCTCCCCGTGGCCCAACGTGGGCGCATGCACACCACAGGTCAGCACAGCCAAGGCGCAAGGCGGGCGTGTCCCCCTACAGGGGGATTTTCGACGAGAAATAAAACAATACTCAACACATGCTCCAAAATGGTCAAACAAAGATTCCAAAAAATAGTCCCCAGACTATTCTTCGACTATGTTTGAATGTTCCCCCTGTAGGGGGACAGGCCCGACTTGACCCAAGGCGCAGGCAAGCCACACCCAGTCCTCACCCTGCCGGCCTCCTCCTCGTCCTCCTCCTCCTCCTCCTCCTCCTCCTCCTCCTCCTCCTCCTCCTCCTCCTCCTCCTCCTCCTCCCCCTCCTCCTCCTCCTCTCCGTCCCACCGTGCCCCCTCCGTGCTCCCCGCGGGCCCCCGCGCTGCCACCTCGCTCCGCCCCTGCCGGTTCTCCAGGCACGGCGCGCCGAGGCCTTGCGCGAGGAGGAGAGCTTCAGCCGCTCGCTCTGCAGGTGCGCGTTGCTCTTCTTCTGCTGGTCCACCTGTTACCAGCCTCGAACGTACCCCTATCCCCAAGACGGACACGCCAGAAGGCGAGGACGATTCTTGGGGATTCGCCCCCAAGAAGCAAGGGGAATCCCCAAGATGGGCATCGTGATGAGGAGGTGCCCAGCATAGGGATAGGGTTATGTTCCAGGCTGGTAGAATCCCCGCGATCGGTTCTCAGAGGCTTTCGACCACACCTTCTGTGGGGGCTTTCCCCGCAGGCCGCCCCCCCAGTGGGCGCTCGATCAGCAGCACCGACGGGTCCCCAGACCGTCCGCTGGCAGCTTCTGGGGGTCGCCGGAATCCCAGGGGGCCTCTGGAGGCTTCAAGTGGACCAAACACGCACCCAAACAAAACCTCGATCCTTGCTCCTCCTCTTCCCTCAGTGGGCCCCAGGCTGGTCCAAACCTGGGCGGCGAGCGGAAGCGGGTCACCCGAGCGAGCTGGCATCCCGCGCGGCCTCGCGCGGCGGCTCACGCTGGCCGCCGGCGCGGCACGCCGCACGCGCAACGAGGGCGCTCACGCGGTCGGCCTCACGCGGGCGGCCTGCGCGCCAGTGTCGGTGAAGCCGACCCAGTGTCTCTGCGACGTCCAGCTGGTCATCGGCTCAGCTGCAGGAGGCACAGGGCTTCAGCTGTGCGCTGGGGGCGTGGGCACAGGCGGCCGCATCCGGGCGGCTGCTTCACGAGCCCTACCAGTGAGCCTGACCGAACGGTGGGTCGGCGCGGAAACTAAAACCGGAAACGGACAGGATCAGGGCGCGGGCGGCACGACACATCTGGTGGACAGCAGCCAGCGCCCTGTCTGCCTGCGGCGCGCCCAGGAGGGGAAGGCCGAGGGTGCGGGCCTTCTCCAGAGGGCCCGAAGGCCTTCTGAGAAGCTTCGTCTAAGCCTTCACCGAAGACACACACCCACACACGAACACGGCTTCCTCAGAAGTCGCGAGGGTTTCTGAGAAGTCCCACCGTCTTCTGAGAAGGCCAGCCCACTTTTCACTTCCCCTCTGGGCTCGCCGCCGAGTTTCAGAAGAAAAGTTAAGTGGTTGTCGGTCAAGCTCATGGAAGCTCAAGGAAGCTCAAGGAGGCGCCGCCAACCACGCTGCGAGTGCAGCGTGCATTGCGTTCGGCAACTCAGGCCAATTCAAACCCCTGGCGCTATCCAAAACTATGCTTTTCATCACGATTGCACTCCCCAACGAACGATGGCGCCAAAGAAATGCACCAGGCAAAACTGGAGCCACGAGAGGACCAACCAGCAATAGCAGAGCACGCATGCGAAACCTTGGCTCGTGGAACCTTGGGTCGGGAGGAGAAGGAGAAGAGGAGGACGAGGACGAGGAGAGAAAATCCGCCGACCCCTTGGGGATCATCGGCGTGTGAGATGCTTCCCCCTCCCCAAACCCCTCCCCCGGGAGCCCGGTCCGGTCGATTTGGAGGGGGGGGGGGGTCCGGCACGAGCGGGGGGGGTCCGGGACGAGCGCAGCACGGCCGGGACGAGCGGTTCACGGGGCTTTTCCGGGCCCAAGAGGGCCTCAAGACGGGCCAAGAAGCCCCCAAGAGGCCTCCAAGACGGCCCACGAAGGCTCCGAGACGCCAAACAACCGCTCCAAGACGCCCACGATGGCCCCAAGACGGGCCAAGAGGTCTCCAAGACGGCCCCCGAGGTCCCAAACAAGCCTCCCAAGAGGGCCCAAAGAGTCTAAAATTGTTGATTTTCCATAGTGTTTTTCGATGTTTTTTGCTTTTCCGCCTTTTCGGCTTCCCGACGCTCCAAGACGGCCAAAGAGGCCCCAAAGACAGCCCCAAGATGGCCCAAGAGGCCCCCAAGACGGCCTCCAGACGGCCCAAGACGGCCCCAACACGGCCCAAGAGGTCCCCAAGACGGCCCAAGAGGGCTCCAAGACGGCACCAAGAGGGGCCCAAGAGGGCGACCAAACATGTTGAAACTCTAGCTTTCTGCCCCCAGGAGCCCCAGGGGGCCCCAAGAGTGCCCCAAGAGGCCCCCAGAGGCCCTCACGAGGCCGCCCAGACGCCCCAAGGAACCCCCAAGAAGCACCCCAGAGGCTCCGAAACGGCCCCCAAGTGGCTCCAAAACTCGCGGTGTCGCCGTCCGCTCGGACCCCCCCGCGGAACTGCCCGAGACCCTCTGGCGGTGGCGGCGAACAGACACCAAACAAATATCACTCGCCTTTTCACCCCTTCGCAGCTTCTACTGCCCCCAGATTGGCATAAACAAGGGGTCGGCGGTGTGGCGTAAGCCTAAGAATCTACATCGCAACAGCGCAGAAATGCTGTCATGTACACGCGGTGCTTAGAGCTCAAGCTGGAGCCCGTTACTTTATTCGCGGCAATAACGGGCGTCATTGGGGGGGGCCTGGGGGGGGTATAACGTAACGCCCTCCCCCCCCGCCACGGTGCGGTGCTGGCGCCACCACAGCGTCTGCGCGAACGACGACGACGACGACCGACGACGAGGAGGACGACGACGACGACGACGAGCGACCACGAAGACGACGACGTCGACGACGACGGCGACGACAACAACGACGACGACGACGAGCGACCACGACGACGATGACGACGAGCGACGACGACGACGAGCGACGACGACGACGACGACGACGACGACGACGACGACGACGACGGCGGCGACGACGACGACGACGGCGGCGACGACGGTGGCGACGACGACGACGACGACGAGCGACCACGACGACGACGACGACAACAACGACCGACGACGACGACGACGACGACGACGACGACGACGACGAAGAGCGACGACGGCGACGACCGACGGCGACGACGACGACGACGACGAGCGACGCCTCCGGAGGTCTCCATGGGGTATCCCTGTGCCTCCAGAGGCCTCCTGGGGCCTCTGGAAGCATCCAGAGGCCTTCCTGAGGTCATTCGAAGGCCTCCAGGGGCCCTCGAAAGCATTCGAAGGCGTCTGACAACGACGAGCGACCGCGAGCGATGACGACCGACGACAACGACGACGACGGCGAAGACGACGACGACAACGATGACCACGATGACGACGACGACAACAACCGAAAACGAAGAGCGACGACGACTACGACGACGACGACGACGACGACCGACAACGAAGAACAACGAGGAGTTGTGGCGGGCACATGCCTGCGAAGGCGTCGTTGCCTCCAGATGGGGTATAAGAGATATGCTCCTCACCGCCCTCCTCCATCCTCGTCGACATCGTCGTCGTCGTCGTCCTTCTCCTCCTATTGCTCTCTGCTACCACCGCCCCTATTCGGATCCCCACGCGGATCCCTATGCGGATCCCTATGCGGATCCCCATGCGGATCTATATAGGGTCCCTTGGAACCCCAATGCGGATCCCTATGCGGATCCCGATTGGATATCCCTATGCGCTCCCCATGCGGATCCCTATGCGGATTTTTGTGCGGATGCCTATGCGGATCCCTATGCGCACGGCGACAATTCCGGGGGCGCACTGGGTGCCAGAGCGTCCGTTACGTTACAGGGTGTGGGGGCGGGGGAGCCATAACGCGCGTTAGGGCCCAAGCAATGAAGAAACACGCGCCTGGATCCAGTAATGAACAAACACCACACGATGCTAAATGAGCAACTTGCAACTTATCGTTTGCCCGGATCAGGGAATGCGGTCCTGGGATCCGTGGAACGTGATCTCGCAACGGAAGGCATGCCGACAGGCCACACCAAATCCTCACAGCAAATTATTGTTTCCGAGACTGCCGGATTGGTTAGCGTAACCTCGACCAAAAACATGAGCAAACGTTGATACTTGCTGTAGGCAAGATCGTTGGACCTGCATCTAGCTGAACTTCAGGAGTGCACGCATTGAGGATGCGCATTCTTCCCAAATTGCATCAATACTAACACTTCTTCACCCTTCGGGTAACAGTCGGCACCGCAAGCGGGCCCGAAAAAGGTCACGGCAGTGCCCTCCTGCATGCCATCGAAGGCTTCAACAGACGATACCGCAGAAAGCGCACTGCTCAATACATTGGGAGGCACACATACACATGCTCCCAAGACTTCAACGTGGCTTCACCATTCTCGCCACCGCACCGGGGGCCACGTAGTAGAGTGGTACGAAGTCTGAGCATTTTCTTAGGATGGAGGGCTCAGGGTGAAATCCATATGGGCTGTCATCACCTCGAGAATCAATCCGTCTTGTGATATACCTCTTGCAGATTCGAGCCTCGAAAATTCATCGAAACGGCACTTCAGATTTCACCCTTTGCCCTCCACCCAAAGAAAATGCTCGGGACGTAGAGCGCCCCTGCCAAGGTTCCGAAACATTCTCCAGCGGCCCCCACTGGTCACAATCCCTTGGTCCACCTCCCCCTGGACCTGGACGGGGCCTTTCGCGAGCGGTCAGAGCGTGCAAGATGGCCCAAGATGGCTCCAAGAAGGCCCCAAAGAGCTAAAGATGGCCTCCGAGATCGCTGAAGATAGCCCAACATGGCCACTCCCTCCCGAGAATCCCTGGGCGTCCCGACGCCTCCCCTGCGCTCCCCAGAGGCTTCAGGGTGCCTACCAGGACTTCCAAGAAAGCCCAGTAATGCGGGATGACGCTCAATAAAGAAAACGGGAGCGAACGATTGAAAAAATAGTTTCCTGCGATTTCTGCACAAGTTTCTGACTGGAGGAGAACGATCAAAAAAAACATAGTTTTCCAGCCCGCGGCCGATTTTTTCTAATCGTCATCCTTGGCTCCGCCGCGTGAACACGACCCCCGGTCATTTATTAATCGTCATCCTCCATTAAGGCTTCCACCATGAAGCAGCCCTAGACATGACCCCAGAGGCCTCAAGAAGCCCCGAGGAGAGAAACGAGACTTCCAACAAGGAGCGCCCAAGCAGCGAGAACCGGTCAAACGCGTGTCGTGTTGATTTGTCTGCTTCCCAACTTGTCGGCCTAAGACGGCCTCACGGGTCCTCACGAGGACCTCAAGATGGCCAGATAATGGCCGAACTTCTCCGGAGACGGCCCAGTCAAAAACCGCCAAGACTGCCCAAGAGGGTTCTCGGAGCAAGACAGCAGAAGAAAGCCCCAAGACGCTCTCAGAGGGTCCCGAAATGCCCACGAGATTCCGAGAGGCATTGCAAAACCTTCCCCTCCTCCTCCCCGTCCCCCCATCTCAGCCTCCTCCTCCTCCTCCTCCTCCTCCTCCTCCTCCTCCTCCTCCTCCTCCTCCTGGCACCTGGCACCTGGCAACTGGTGGCATGGAAGTTCGTCGGCCTCCCGGCCTCCTCCTCTTCCTGATCACAGGTTACGGTCATTGTCGCACCTGCGGAAAATAGTGTCGCGTAACATGTTACGCCCGGCCCTGCGGAAAAAACTGTCACACGTTGCATTGTTGTTCGGGCGTCCCCCTCGCCCTCCAGGCCTCCCTCTTGCCGCACACGTGCGTCTTGGGGTGATGCGACGGGGACGTCACGGCAGGGGATGGTTTGCTAGGGGTCGACTGGGCCGCCCCTGAATTATGTGCGTTTCTCGAATGATCGCCACACACGGCGCTGTGCTGGCACGGTGACGGAGTCTAGCCTCGGGGTGGCAGCGCGTACGCAACTCGGCGGCCAAGGCCAGCATCATGCCACGGCTTCCCTGATAATGGGATCCGGCTGGATCGACTCCTGCACTCCTGAGCGGGAGGAGGAGGAGAAAGAGGACGAGGAGAGGGAGCGGAAGGGGGGCGCGGACGGGGACGGGGATGGGGGCGAGGAGGACGAGAAAGACATTATAAAGGGGTCCGCGAGACCGTTCTCCGCTTCCTCGACTGAGATAGAGAAGAGCTGAAAAGGGCATGGGCAAAAACTGTCGGAGGTCGGACCATTTGTTCTGCTGTTTTCTGGAAAAGGAGCTCCCAAGCTCCTCCTCCTCCTCCTCCCCTCCTCCTCCTCCTCCTCCTCCTCCTCCTCCTCCGTCCTCCTCCTCCTCCTCCTCCTCCTCCTCCTCCTCCTCCTCCTCCTCCTCCTCCTCCCCCTCCCCCTCCTCCTCTTCGAGGACGACAGGGAGGTTGAGAAGGAACCAACGGGGACGAGAACGAAAAGAACGACACGGAGGGGCGCGATACCGCTTTCCGCTTCGTCGTTTGAGACAGAGGAACAAAACAAAACACGAGCACACATACAGAGCTTCGGAAGTGTTTGCTTGTGCATCTTCCTCTTCCGTCTTATGTTCGGAGGTACGGAAGAGACAGAGGAGGTTGAGGAGATGGAGCAGAAGGGGACGAGGATGGGGACGAGGAAGAAGGGAAAGAGAACAGGGGCCGAGATACTTGGAGCGGGGCAAGTTGAGGCAAAGGCAGCTCCCAGACCCCTCCCGGAACCCAAACGCACGCGTTTTCCGAGCTGCATCCAGGCGTGGCGACGAGGCGGCCCTCCGAAGGCCAACCACCGCTGTCTCAAATCGCCCTCCCCTAAGATACCTTTTTCCGCCCCCTCCGCTGAAATGAGCAGCGCAGACGGGTCTAGTGCAAGATGGCACAGCGACCTTACGCTGTGACTCGCGCGGGCTGCCAGCGCGGCGCGCAACCTTGGAGACGAAGGCGCTTTAGGCGAAGCCTTACGCGAAAAGCGTACGCACGAATGTCCGCGCAGTCGGTCCATTGTCTGTCGTTACACAGTTGGGGTCGGGGGATCGAGCCGCCTCGCCGGTGCGTCGCCGATGCATCGGCGATGCATCGGCGATGCCTCGGGGACGTCGGCGATGCATCGGCGCCGTCGTAGGGGAGAAAAAAAGCTCCAGCATCGGGCCGCATCGCCGATGCACCGGCGATGCGGCGCGACCCTCCGGCCCGTATCCTCGGTGGCAACTCGCGGGAGCCTCCCATGCAGTGTTGCTGGCTCTCGCGAGTCGGCCCTAACCGACGCTCATCGACGCTAGTAGTCGCTACATCGGCGCGTTCTCATCGACTGTCAGGCGCCAGCGCACGCGGATGCACTCCAGAGACGGAAGCACGAGAACAGACGAAGGCCCCCATGATTTCCTTCCGAGCCCACCTCCTCGGACCCCACTCGGGATGCCCTCGGGTGCACAAGACCATCCAGCGGGCTGGTGTCGTGCGCCCCCTCAAAACACATATCCCAATCAACAACATGTGCACCAGGGCTGCAAATGCGGTGGTCGGCGCCCTAACCGCCCTAACCGACCCCAACCTTCGACTCGGCTCACGCATACGTTCTGTGTGGGGGGGGGATCAACAACATCTTCACCAAGGCTGCAACTGCGGTGGCCAGTGCAATCAACAACGTCATCACAACAACGTATCCAGCAGGATCGGCCGGATCGAGATGTTCGGAACCGCACTCCAGCACCATCCCTTCCGTGACGTCCCCCTCGCTCTCGCCCGGAACGTGCCTCCCTGGCCAACCATCCCCCGCCGTGGCGCCACCCTCGCCCTTCAAGCTTCCCTCTGGCCGCATACATGCGCCTTGGGGCGAGGCGAGGGGGACCTCACGGAAGGGATGGTTTGCTAGGGTGAAGTCGGGCGCGTCCCTCTAGAGGGGGACGATTCCAAAAGAGTGAAAAACTGGTCTGGGGACGACGTTTGGACAAACGTTTGAGTTTTTGGGGAGCACGGTTTGAGAATGCGTCTTTATTCTGTGCCCAAAACCCACCTGTCGGGGGACACGCCCGACTTCATTTAACGGGCGAAGAACGGTATAAAATAAATGTTTGCGCTGTCGGGGGCGCCTGTCCCAGGGCGGCTGGAAAGTTTCTACCCCTACGGTGGCACCGTCGGGGTATAAACTTTCTCCAGCCGCCCAGGGACAGGCGCCCGCGACAGCACAAAAGTGTATTTCCCAACCATCCTGTGGTGTTGGGTCCTCGTTTTGAAGAGACGGTGCCCTGCGTCTCTCCTCCTCTCCTCCTCCTCCCCCTCCTCCTCCTCCTCCTCCTCCTCCTCTCCTCCTCCTCCTCCTCCTCCTCCTCCTCTCCTCCTCCTCCTCCTCCTCCTCCTCCTCCTCCTCCTCCTCCTCTCCTCCCTCCTCCTCCTCTCATCATCAGCATCATCATCGTCATCGTCACCGTCATCATCAGCATCATCATCATCATCATCATCATCATCGTTCTTATCACCATCGTCGTCATCATCATCGCCGTCTCCATCATGGCCACACGTTTCGTGGACCCATAGTGAGCTCCACCGAAGGCCCCAGTGGCAAGGTCCGCATGCGGTTCCACCTCCATTTCGGCGCACCCCTCACACGTTTCGTGGCCCCATAGGGAGCTCCACCGAAGGCCCAAGTGTCAGGGTCCGCATGCGGTTCCACCTCCATTTCGGCGCACCCCTCACACGTTTCGTGGCCCCATAGGGAGCTCCACCGAAGGCCCAAGTGTCAGGGTCCGCATGCGGTTCCACCTCCATTTCGGCGCACCCCTCACACGTTTCGTGGCCCCATAGGGAGCTCCACCGAAGGCCCAAGTGTCAGGGTCCGCATGCGGTTCCACCTCCATTTCGGCGCACCCCTCACACGTTTCGTGGCCCCATAGGGAGCTCCACCGAAGGCCCAAGTGTCCGCATGCGGTTCCACCTCCATTTCGGCGCACCCCTCACACGTTCCACCTCCATTTCGGCGCACCCCTCACACGTCAGGGTCCGCATGCGGTTCCACCTCCATTTCGGCGCACCCCTCACACGTTTCGTGGCCCCATAGGGAGCTCCACCGAAGGCCCAAGTGTCAGGGTCCGCATGCGGTTCCACCTCCATTTCGGCGCACCCCTCACACGTTTCGTGGCCCCATAGGGAGCTCCACCGAAGGCCCAAGTGTCAGGGTCCGCATGCGGTTCCACCTCCATTTCGGCGCACCCCTCACACGCTTCGTGGCCCCATAGGGAGCTCCACCTGAGGCCCAGTGGCAGGGTCCGCATGCACCTCCATTTCGGCGCACCCCTCACACGTTTCGTGGCCCCATAGGGAGCTCCGCCTAAGGCCTAAGTGGCAGGGTCCGCATGCAGTTCCACTTCCATTTCGGCGCACCCCTCACACGTTTCGTGGCGTCATAGGGAGCCCCGCCTAAGGCCCAAGTGGCACGGTCCGCATGCAGTTCCACCTCCATTTCGGCACACCCCTCACACGTTTCGTGGCCCCATAGAGAGCTCCGCCTAAGGCCCAAGTGGCAGGGTCCGCATGCAGTTCCACCTCCATTTCGGCGCACCCCTCACACGTTTCGCGGCCCCATAGGGAGCTCCACCGAGGGCGCCAATGGCAGGGTCCGCATGCAGTTCCACCTCCATTTCGGCGCACCCCTCACACGTTTCGCGGCCCCACAGGGTGCTCCACCGAAGGCCCCAGTGGCAGGGTCCGCATGCAGTTCCACCTCCATTTGGCGCACCTCTCACACGCTTCGTGGCCCCATCGGGTGTTCCACCAACGACGATACTTACAACGGCGGCATTCGGAATTGCGTATGGTTGGGCCCTTCGCCAGGATAATTTATACCGTTCTTCGCTCGCTGATTAATGCCAGGGGTCAGACAGGCCGCCCTCTGTGGGAGGCCTGGAAATGGGCACCAACACCAAGACAGAGGGCTGCCTCCACGGGAGGAAGATGATCCTGGATTTTGGTGTTGGTGGTAATCTTCCGGCCGCCTAGACAGCCCGAATATTACCACCATCACCGAGATCGGGATCTCCTTACCTCGGTGGAGGAACGCCGCCGATATTGGTGTTGGTGTCGACCTCTAGGCCGCCGACCCCGAGTGCGGGCCAGGCGGGCGCGGGCCTCCCGCTTCACGGCCTGCAGCTTCTCCTGCACGGCCGGGCTCACGGTGTTGTTCGCGGCCTCCGCCTGCTGCTGCCTGCGGGGCCGCGGGGGCCAGGGGGCGGGCAGACCGCGGCCGAGCGGTCGCCGGCAGCACCGGCGCGCGGGCACCGACCACGGACACGGACGGCGACAGCGACGGCGACGACAACCGCACCGATCACAGCGGCGACGACGGGCGGTGCACGTTTTTGTTTTTTCTCCTGCTGCGCTCGGTGGCGGCAGTGCGTGGGCAAGCTCGGCCAGCGAGGCCACCCCGAGCGTCGGCAAAGTCCTCGGCGGGCCCTCTTCGGTTCCGTCGCACGTGCTCTCTCTCTCTCTCTCTCTCTCTCTCTCTCTCTCTCTCTCTTTCCCCATATATTTATATATGTACACAAATCAATATATATATATATATATATATATATATATATATGTCGGCGGTGCGCCGTGGCACGACCCCCCCCCCCCAGCACTACCGGGGGGGTTCGTGCACTACCGGGGGGTTTCGTGCAGCCCGCACCGGGTGTCGCCAGCGCCTTCGAACACCCCCCCCTTGCCGCTTTACCGGGGGGTTCGTGCAGGCCGCATTGAGTCCTCCCCTGTCGCTTTACCGGGGGGGTTCGTGCAGGCCGCGCTGTGTCTACCTGGGCTCCCCCCCCTCCCCCCCTGTGGGAGTGGGGGGGTGGGAGGGGGGGGTGGGTTGGGGGGGGGCAGGGGGCGGTTGGGAAGGGTGGCTCCCTGTCGAAGTGTGGCGTGTGCTCGCCTTGTGTTCTATATTCGCGTCTGCTCGCCTTTGTTTCGCCTTCCTCCTCTTCTTCCTCCTCCTCCTCCTCCTCCTTCTCCTCCTCCTGCTCCTCCTCCTCCTATTCCTCATCCTCCTCCTCCTCCTCCTCCTCGTCCTCGTCCTCCTCCTCCTCCTCGTCCTCCTCCTCCTCGTCCTTTGTAATGCAGATTGGGGCCACAAGCATGCGAGTTGCGCCGCAGCCTCTAGTATTGTGGCCACGAGCCCAGCAGTGCGAACAACAGGAATGCCAGTTCCTCCTCCTGCTCGTCCTGGTAAGATTCGCGCGTCGGGGCTGGGGTTCGCGCGTGCCGGGAGCGCGCCGCTTACGGAGGGGTTGCGTCCTTACCGGGGGGGGTCGTGCAGCCTACCAGAGGAGGTCGTGTTTACCGGGGGGGGTCGTGCAGCCTCGCACCGGGAATGGCGCCAGCTCGAACCCCCCCAGGAGAGATTACCGGGGGGGGGGTTCGCTCCGCACCGGGCACCGCCGACATACATATATATATATATATATATATATATATGTATGTATGTATGTATGTATGTATATGTATGTATGGATGGATGGATGGATGGATGGATGGATGGATGGATGTATGCATGCATGCATGCATGCATGCATGCGTGTATGTATGTATGTATGTATGTATGTATGTATGTACGTATGTATACACTGACCAAGTACAACACACCAAAAGCATTGTTCGTTGTTATCGTTGTCATCGTTGGCTTCCTGCAGGCAGGCAGGGGCGGCCGAAGCGCTGCCCACAGAAGAATAACAAAAAGGAACAACGAAAAAATGGAATGTCGGAAGAAGAACAACTACCGGCACAGCTATTCCGTGCCTCGTTTTCGCCTTTCTGGACCTCCTTCTCAAGGGAGTATCGGTATCGGTGCCATACTGTCCACCCAGACGAAAGCCGTCGACAAAGCAAAAAAAATCCTGGCCTTCGGTGGCGCTCCCTATGGGGTCACGAATCGTATGACGGTGTGCCGAATTGTGTGGCGTAGTCTCTGCAGGGGGCTTCCCTGGGAACCCCGACGGCAGCGGGACGCATGCAGGCACACCCACTGGGACCTTCGGTGGAGCTCCCTATGGGGCCACGAAACGTGTGAGGGGTGTGCCGAAATGGGTGTGCGGGACGCATGCAGGGACACCCACTGGGACCTTCGGTGGAGCTCCCTATGGGGCCACGAAACGTGTGAGGGGTGTGCCGAAATGGGTGTGCGGGACGATGATGATGATGGGAGGAGGGAGGAGGAGGAGGGGGAGGAGGCAGCGGGAGGAGGAAGGAATGGGACGCGGGGCGCTGTCTCTTCAAAACGATGACCCAACACCACAGGATGGGAACTAAATGATCATAAACTGGCCAAGCTCCGCGCGGATCTCCGAAAGTTCATGCGTATGCAATTTCTACCAACCATCCTGCGTATGTGGGTCCTCGTTTTGAATCAGCCGCGCCCCTCGTCCTCACTCCTCCCTCCTCCCCCCTCATCCCTCCTCATCCCTCCTCCAACCGCGCCCATGTCGGAGCACCCCTCGCACGTTCCGTAGCCTCATAGGGAGCTCCGCCCAATGTCCCAGTGGCAGGGATCGCACGCGTGACCGCGCCGATTTCGGCATACCGCTCACATGCTTCGTGGCCCCACATGGAGCTTCACCGAAGTCCCCAATGCGTGACCGCGCCCATTTCGGCGCACCCCTCACACGTCTCGTAGCCCCATGAGGAGCTCCACAGAAGGCCCCAGTGGCAGGAAACGCGTGCATGACAGCGCCCCTTTCGGCACATCCCTCACACGCGTCGTGACCCCATAGAGAGCTCCACCGAAGGCCCCAGTGCCAGGAATCGCATGCGTGACCGTTTCGGCACACACCTCGCACGTTTCGTGACCACATGAGGAGCTCGCCCGAAGGCCCCAGTGGCACGAATCGCATGCGTGACCGCTCCCATGTCAGCGCACCCCCACACGTTTCGCGGCCCCACAGGGAGTTCCACCCCAAGGCCCCAGTGCCAAGAATCGCATGCGTGAGCGCACCCATTATTACGGCGCATGCCTCACACGTTTCGCGGCCCCATTGGGAGCTCCACCGAAGGCTCCGCCTCCTGCTGCCCCCCAATGCCGCGCCGACAGACGAGCAGATCAGCCGTAACGGCTTATGTAACCAGTAGTGGCCGACCTCTGCGACCCCATCAGCAACGTCGCTCTGTTCTTCGCAAGCACGCCTTAGTACTTGTGCTCGCCTCCTCACTTAGTTGCCACCTGCCTTGCAGCGCTCGCAGCTGCATATGGTTGGGTCCATCGCCAAGCGAATCTCTCTTTCGAGGGTAGGCAGGCAAGGGGCAGACTGGGGCAACCGCAGCGCCGCCCAGGGCCAGCTGTGGGCCAGCGGGGCGGGGCGAGGCAAGGTGGGGCACGGCGCATGGTACCGCGCAGAGGGCGGTCCAGAGAGGGGGGGTCTCGACAGGCCAAGGCTCGAGTGGGGGATTGGGATTGCGTACATAATGATTTCCCCAAAAGTGGTTTCCGTCGGTCTGCGCAAACTATGCTTAACGCTTGTAGATCTGCGCAGATGCTGCGTAGCTTGGCTTGTCGACCCGACGGGAGCATCAGCCTTGGGATACATCGACTCTGCAGTCGACCCCCTACCTGAGAGGCGGCGGCTGATGTCAGGGGCTGGGGAGAGGGGGAGGCCCAGTGGCAAGGGCCGCCGGGGGCTGGTCCCGAAAACTGGGATCTCGGCAAATTAAGGGCTCCCAACTTCGCGCTTCGCGCTGCGCGAAGCGCGAAGTGCGAATAACTTCGCGCTTTCGCGCCGCCTCCCAGGGGAGGACGAGGAGGACGAGGAGGAATCGGAGCCCGAAGCGCGCAGCGCGAAGCGCGAAGCGCGAATACCTTCGCGCCCTCGAGGGCGCCCTTGCAAATCGGGGTGGGGGGCCATCGTGGCGGCGGTGGGCGAGCGGGAAGCTGACGACGCTCGGGCTCCGCCGAGGGCGCCCACCGCTCGCAGACCTCGGAGCGCAGCCTCCGCCGGGGCGCCCCTCGCGGCCCCCCCCCCCACGGCGGGAGCAGCGAGGGGCGACCACCGCCCACCACCACTCGCGAGGAGCCGGGCGGGGACCTCCCGGTGGCCTGCCCCCTCCTCCTCCTCCTCCTCCTCCTCCTCCTCCTCCTCCTCCTCCTCCCCTCCTCCTCCTCCTCCTCCACCTCCTCCTCCTCCTCCTCCTCCTCCTCCTCCTCCTCCTCCTCCTCCTCCTCCTCCTCCTCCTCCTCCTCCTCCTCCTCCTCCTCCTCCTCCTCCTCCTCCTCCTCCTCCTCCAGACCCCCCTCGGGCGATGAAGAAGCACGACGAAGGGTGTCTGGCCATCCTCTGCCGCGGGGGGGCCCTCGCCGGGCCTGAAGGGAAAAGCCAGTCCCAGGGGAACGGGCCATGTCCCTCGGAATGGGTCGAGACCTCAAGGGTCCATGTCATGAAAACATAGGGAGCCCAAAAGTATACACCACCACCACCTCCCTCCCCCCCTCCCTCTCGCTGGAAAGAGGAGAGAGGAGGAATCGACGTGGTGGTGGTGTATATTCTTTGGGCCCCCAAAACATCATGACGTCCACTGGTCGCCGCAAGAGAGCGGTGGCTCCCAATGGCGTGCCCCCCACCCCTTCTGTCTTGCGGCGCCGCACTCGAGCCATCCCCAATCCTCCAACCTGAGGAAACCAATAGGTACCGATACCGCCAATCCCAGGACCTCTCCTGGGGTGCGGTCTGAACATGGTTTCGAAGCGGATCCAGCGGTGGCGATGAGGGCCTGCGAGGAAGCAACGGTGTGGGTACCGTTTCCTCCTCTGACGGTCTCCAGCTCATGGAAGCACCAGCGCCACCCGGATGGGTGCTCCGTAGGCTGGGGAACCCTGGCCGCCGCAGGGGAGCGGCGCTCCCCTGCCCCGCTGGCTGCACCATCCCCGCCGCGGGAGCGTCCCCCGCTGGTGGAGCGCACAAGGGGGTAGGGGGAGGGGGGGAAGCTTTTTCAAAGGGGGCTTGGGCGTAGCTTAGTGAGGGGCCACAAATGTGGGGGATAAGAAAGATGCACTTATCGGGCTCTAAAGGCCCCCTTTGGGGCCCTAACGGGCCCCTGTACTGCAGCCCTCGCTGCCCCCAACCACACTGATCGCCCCCCAATTACGCGACGCGCAAGAGGCTGCGCATCAGAAGGCGCTGGACTTCCATCTATAGATAAGGACCGCGCCTTCTAAGCAGCAGCCTCCTTCCAAGAAGCCTT